ATATATATATAAAGATAATAATATGATATAGTTATATAGACATAAATATATTATTTATGTTAATTACTCATTTTCGGTGAAATTTAAAATAAATTTGTATAACGTACCCTGGTTGACAATGGGCCGCTGTTATCACATATTTATCGGTGATAAGTACACCTCCGCATTTATTCTTCGTGAACAAGCCGAGCCAAGTCGCCTCGCGAACCAAAACCTGCCATGGCCACTCTCCGAAATCTGCGCCTTTTCCGCCGACTACTTTTCCTGATCTTTTTGAGACCAGAGGTCTTACGCCGCATTCTGTTATCGCAATTAATCATTATGGTGACCGCAATAACAGTCGTGATAATTGCGATTAAAAATATACATTTTCATAAAGGATTTGAAACAGAGTAATATAAGGTTTAGTGAAAAAGCAGAAAAGAAACGAGATTCCGATTTAGATGTTCGGATCTTTTATTTGTAGAATTTTTTACAAAAACTTTGCGAACTTGTCGACTGCTCACTTACGAGTCCTAAAATCGGCTACGTTCTGCTGGATGACATTCGTTTCTGCAATGCTGCTTGTAGTCGTGTGCAGATTCTGTTCTTCTTCTAGCGGAATTGCCTCCGTACTGCTGGACGATGCAGTCGTGGGTTTCCTGGTCGGTTTTGTCGGACGCCTCGTTATTACTTGCGGTCTTTTTGTTGTAACGTTCTGCGATGTGTTTGGTTTAGGTTTCGAAGTAGTTGCTTTAGTAGGACGCGTTGGCTTCTCGGACGGTTTCTGAGTTGGACGAGTAGGCCTCTTAGTAGTCGCGGATGGCCTCTTCGTCGTCGTCGACGACGAGGACGATGCCGGTCTAGTTGTGGGCTTTCGCGTAGGTCTTTTTGTCGTAGTGCTTCCAGTTGCAGGTCTTTTCGTTACGGTAGAAGATGTTGTTGAATTCTCTACGGTGGCATTTCGAGTGTAGACTATGTCTTTTAGATTCTAAAAAAGCGATCAGAAAAGAAGAATAAATTACACAAGTATTCTATGTTAAAAACAAAGGCTCGTATTCAGTATTTAGAATCCGCTTATAATAATGTTGAACGCACTTAGTATATAGTTCACGATGCCTATAGAATTTCAAAAATAAAACCGCATTTATTGATAAAAGTGCGTCCTGAATACGGATCGAGATATTTATTATTAATCCTCCTGATTGGAATCATGTTAAAAAAAATTTTTTTTTTTAATTTAATTCAAGGGCACTTTAATAATTAATATTAAGCAATTTTTAAAAAATTTAAAAGGTTAAAACAATGTAATAATCTATTAAATGAACTAAAAATGAACAAAGAATAATGTATCTTTAATTAAAAATAATGCAAGTTTAATATGTCAGTTTAACATGGACAATATATGTGAGAGAACTTTTGAGTTTATATTAATGTTTGAATTTATCTTGTCGCTTTCATGTTGCTCGAGCAAAATTAACTCATAAAGTGTGCAAAATTTTTAGAAGCAAGAGAGCATAAAAAATTTAAAAGCAACAAGCTTTCAACGTTTTAATTTATAAGTCTAAAAATAATGAGACATTAATGTAAACTGTGTTTATCTACTCGTAACGCTCAAAACGCTGAACGTTAAACTACTGTTGCATAAAAAAACTCAAAGTAATCTAAAACTTCGTTAAACAACACAGGAACATAAAATTCTTTCGCTGGTAAAAACAAATTATCTTGTTACCTCAAAAGTACCCTGCAGCGACTCGACGAGTTTGACAACGAAAGCGTCAACTTTGTTTGTCAGCACATCGTCCTCAACAAACGTGGGCGTCGGAATATCGTGCTCGCTGATGAGTTCGATATCCGGATACCCGGTGTTATTGTACGCCTCAACAATTGTCGGCTTCTCCTGCTGCGAGATCGGCATAGAGATATTCAGGTTCGGATTCCGCACTGGTGGAAAATTAATAAGATCGTCTGGTGCCGCAGTCTCATCATCGCAAGGTGCAGAGGTAGTGCTGGTAGCCTTGTTTACGGTATCTTTGAATATAATATTATTAACTGGCGTCAAATTATTGTTTGACCAATTGACGCTGGACATCGATGGCTTTAGATTGAACGTTGGTTTGTTCGACCACGAAGAGACCGTGGTCCAAATCACAGGCTTTTTCGTGCTCGGCCGAGTCTTTGTGCTCGCATTTTCCTCGATCGCCTCGGTGTTAACATCAACTGTTGGTTTCACGCTGGTGCCATCCTTCAGGTTGACACTGATATAGCTAGTAGAGACCACATTATTGTTGGCGACGTTGGAAATTACGGTGCTGATGTTGTGAGTTATGGTAGTGGACACGCTGGGTTTCTTGGTGATTAAGGTGATAGGTCTAACAGGAGTAGTTTTAATCGAAATTGAAGTGGGCTTGATAGTTGTGCCCGAAGGTTTTCTCGTGACGGGTTTCTGAGTAGTTTGCGTGGTAAAGCTCGTTCCAAGCGGGCCGAGAACTATCACGGTTGGCGCCGGAGGGTTCGTCGTAGGTCGGTTGCTGATAAAACTGCCGCTGGAAGCGCCGGAGTACGTTTGCGTGGATGGTCGTGAGCCACTTGATGTCTGATGGTGCGACGTATAAGTTGTCTCGGTAGGTACGAGCTCGTAGTTGTAGTACGCCGACGAAGGTTTAGACTGTGTGAAACCAGGTTTGTAATAACTGTACGGGAAAGTCGAGGACGCAGGCGTTGTAGGTCGATAATTTGCAGAACTGACTTTGACATGATGGATAGGTTTTGAGGTCTCGTCAATACTCACCCAGGCCTGAACCGGCGAGGAATTAGGAACCGGAAGAGTCACTGATACGTCCGCATTCGGTGTGGTGTCATTCAGAATAGAGATTATGTGATTAATGGCGATTTCCTCTTTGTCGTAAATAACATCATCCTTCTTCTTGTTGCCTGATGGCAAATCGTATATAATTGTAGGTACCTTCACCAAGTCATCTTTGTTGCTGGAGGAGGTCATTGGCGTAGTAGTTTCAATTTTTATTGAATTCGTCATCATTTTTGTAGTCATTTTCTTCTCGACTGTGCTTGTTTTCTCGAATGTGTTTGTCAGCAATGTGCTGGATAAATCATTCGTGAGCTTTTGCACATTGGTGTACATCTGAGTCACCATGGGCACATTCATTATCATAGATGTTAATTTGGAAGTTTGCGACGTCAATTCCGGCATGGAGGATTCAGTCTGCTCTGAAAATTTTATCCACATATTTCCATCTTGTGTGATTTTATCGATCGGTATTTCAGTGGAGGAGGGACGGAAAATCTCGTCCGGATTATTGATCTCCTCAAGCATTGTACCGTTCTCATTCAACAATATCGTCTCTGGATCGCTGTGGTTGTTCTGGCTTAGTCCGTGCGAGAACAATGCCGGAAGCTGATCGACTGGATCCACTATTTGCAAAATTTGATCGGGACTCAGCAACGTAGTGATTGGTTTCTCCCTTGGCGGATCTTGATGATTCTGAATATCGTTATTAGAATCTGAATGCATCAATAATTCTGGCAATCTTAGATCATCGATAATGTCCTGCTGACCCAAAAGAACTGGAAAGCCCTCGGCCAATTGATTTATATTTGTCTGTTGGGGAAATTGAATTTTTTCGGCATTGTTTGATAACGATAACATCGGTGAAGAATCTTGATTCGAACTTGAGATTTTCGTGTATATCATTTCGCTGTCATTAGAGACATTTGGCTTATCAGTCTTTGTGGTCTCGCCACTCGATGACATGCCAATCGGCATGCCGTCCGAATTCAGCAGGATAGGTATATCGGGTACATGGTCGATCTGTTCTAAATTGATAAACTCCTCGGTGTTGGATAGATCATCGTTGCTATTTATCGAGCTCTTCGATGGTAATTGGCAGCATGCACCGAAAAGGAAGCCGTCCATGCAGGCACCGACGACCTCACCGTTACGCCGTGTGCATTCATAATTAAACATGCATATCGGTGGCTCGCTCGACTTGCGCGATGGCAAAGACGGCCGGCACACCTTCGGCACTATCGTGTAACCACCGAACAGCTTTCTACCTGAAAGATAATTATAATAAAAGTCAATCTTATAGGTTCAATCAATCTTATAAGGACTTCACGACTTTTTGTTTTGCAAAAAGTTAATTTAAGATAGAATTAAAAAGTAGCGTATATATAAAGAAAATATTATTTATACGATGTGTTTATAAAGGATCCTGCATTAATTATATGGAAAATTGGTCCCAGTGAATGAGTTAGTTTTTATATATAATGTGATGAACAAGAATGTCATAAATACAAAGTTCAATAATGAATAGTTTTTGAGCTAGGATATATAAATTGTGCTCACATCGTATACTTTTGATATACTACAGCTCAAAAATTATCCACTTTAAAAAAAATATCGATTTAATACATGCGGTGTCTATACATACAATTCTCGTGTTAGTGTTCACATTAACACCAGCTAGTATGGATTTAAAATCTTATTATTTATATCAATACCATTATGAGATGGATTTAAAACCACATTACATTGTTGTTAATATTAATACTAATACAGTAAGAATTACGGACACCGGTAGATGTAAAATCCACATTGATATTTTTTAGAGTGCATCAGTTTTGTGTCTATGATATCTTTTATTATTATATATGTGAAAATTAAGTCATTTCACTAAGATCCACTTTTCCATATAATTAACGTGAGGTCTTTTGGTCGTTTATTTTACGTGTATATCATAAGATATTAGTTTAAAGAATTTTTGCAATTTCTGAAGAAAAAAAAACGGTAAAAGTTTATTTTCGTAAAATAAATTATCGTAGCATGTTGCGAAGAGGCATCCAAAGTTCGCTCCGGTTGGTATTTGGGTTGCGGAAGAGTACCGCGTTCACGTAGCTCGAAATACTGCCCCAAATTTCGGTTTACCCTTAAAGAGAAATCGAATATTGGATCGAGGATTTATTGGTTGCGATATGTAACCCGTGGTAGAGATGTTAAACAACCGTTTTTGCGTGGGCCAAAATATATGGACATTGTTTATCTTTGCAACGTTTCCATTTTAGTCACCGATGTTGCAATAGAATGAACGAAGCAAGAAGAGTATAAATATAGATATCGCGTGGATATCGATTTAAGAAAGGGGAAAGGAAGGTTATTTCTTCAAAAAGTTATCCTCGCTCTTTCGTTTAATTCCCATCTTATAGATTGGACGATAACATCTTTCCTGTTTCTCTTGCTTGTTTTTCTCGAGCACGCGAAAGAAAATATGAATTAGCATCAATATTGAATTAATATCGGGATATACGGCGCGAAAACGTCGGTTACGAGATGCACGCTTGTTTTGCGCGTGTGTTGTGTTTGCACAACGCGTCTATCTTTTTCCGGTTATGCTTAGCTGACCAAAGCATAGACGAGCAGGCATGTAGGCTCCGCCGCACGTGCCTTCTACGCGCTTGCACACTGCCGATATATGATGACCTACTCCGCGATCCGTCTGGATACTCGCGGTTGGCGTTCCAGATTTTTGCTATGCGTGGACTCTCGCGTCTTACCGATCTATCTCATATTTATCAATTTCAATATACTGCATTCGCTCGTTTCCAAACACATATTCGAAGAACACAAATGTGGAGCCTATAAAACAAACTCGCCATAAAATTGTCTGATTAATTGAAAGATGTTCTATATTTCTCATATATCTTCTATACACCTTTCGTCTTTCGGATTTTTTATATATTGCAAGATAAAAAAATATAAAATAACTATCAATTGCGATAAATGTAAAGTAATAAAATTATTTATCAAATAACAATATGAAATAAAAATTTGCGCGATAAATTTTTTTTTATTTGTGATGTTAGGACAATATATATAATGATGTACAACAACAATATCAAGTTATGGTAGAAAGTTCTCAACTGATTAGGAACTTGAAGAATTAAATTCATCGTTTTTATATACCCGCTTTTGTTACGTAAATATGTTCTCGCGCAAAATTTACATATTTTTTGCTACGTCCGTCGTGGGTTGTACAACTTTCTTTTCTACGCGACGCGGAAAATAGAAGAGGGCAATTTGCAATTTAGATTAGCCGCGGGATTGTGCACAGTGTTGTGAAAAATGGGTTGACTAGGTGAGCCGTAGGAGCACGATTATGCCCATTCTGAAGCATGTAAGGCATGCTAGTTAATAAACAATGTATGTATGAAAGCATAAAGTGCATACATCTTAATTAATTATTGTGAGACAAGTGATGTAATACGAGCATTAAACACTCGTTGTTGATGTTATGTTTAACAGAAGTTTGCTCAAAACGGGAGAGCATCGCATTAAATACGCATGATGATCCGAAAGCTTTGTAACAAACTTCGTGAATTATTTACGTGAATTAAATTGAACCCATCGCGTTATTGCATGAGCCTTATATATATATATATATATATATATATGTACTGTGTATTGATATTTATCTGATGGATTATATAGATTATATCTTACATTTTAAATTATATATCTTTTACACAATGAAAATAGTTACTAAGCAGTTAATAGTTTATTGATCTCAATCTATAACTGATCTCGAGAAAATGAGCACTTTAGAAAATACTTATATTAATGTGTTAAACACAAGTATCGCGATAAAGATGATGATGCACAATTTCCTGCGTGTTCTTTCATTTATTCCATAATACTGCAACGATAAAATATGTTGGGGACAAAATATGTTGGGCACAAATAGCAGTAATAATTAACCCGTATTACGATTAAACTTTTCGCTCCCGTATGTATTTCCTATGCCGTGTCGACAGGGTACAATGTGCATTTGGAAGCAGATAGGACGAAAGCAGCTAAAAATATGGGTATTATTAAAGCAGATATATAAATTGATACTATTAAAAGGATTCATTCCACTCTACATTTTGTATTAATCTACATTTTCTATTATATTTCTGTCATATTTGTGTTATATAACTTACTTTTTCAATTAATATGATATTTTTATTATTGATAATGAAATCTGACAGTAATAATCAATAATTGGTAAAATATGAGCTCAATAAGCCGTTAAGCGCTACAAATAAATAAATAGACTCTTATCGTATCCGTGTTTAAAAATATTATACATTTAGCGTTAAAAAATTTAAATAAATCTTTATTTTAATTTCCGCATTAAATCTATCATTCTTTATAATTGATAACTTTGTTTTGTTCATTTAATTTTAGAAGCTTCTCATTTGCGCGTTATATGATCATGCAGGCGCTCGATAAAAAAATATTCAACATTTTATAGATCCTATACAAATTGATATAACAAATAAATCGAAAGAGAATTCTCAACGAGAAGAAATTTCACGCGCTGTGAGAAATGTCATCATAAACTATTATAGAGCTGTAAATGCCATCGCACGAGCCACAAAGTCTCTTGACATAAATCAACGTGCGAAAGTAGAGAAAGGTAAATATTCTGATATATATAGGGCAAAGTCATCGTTAATAAAATATTTAAATATAATAGTTATATGCCAGAGCTTGTAAGAATAATTTCGAGAGAGAGCGTCTTTCGGATTCACGACGTTGATAACTTGACGTGTTCGATAGATGACATGTGAAAATTCACTGTCAATAAACAAGAGTGTCCTAGAATTGTCGTCTGTTTAACTGTGTTTAATGAGAAGCTTGAAGTCAATCTTCTTCTCGCAGTAGATTCTCATCGTATGGAATCATCGTTTGTCGTTACATTTTAATTTCCAATGTTAAATATTATTTTTATTAATTAAAATTTGTGTTTAATTTTTGTTTAAATTGATTCAATTATACATTAATTAATTAAAAACCGACTGTTACTTGTTTATATCAATCTCACGTCATATTTTAATTAATACAATTGAATTAATTTTCTTCAATTGAAGTTGCCCAAATTGCTTGTTATATGTCATATTAAATAATCACGTTTAATAATTCAATATCACTGTCATTAAAATAACCGTCACGTTGTGAAGTTTATTCTCCATAAACACGTTAATAACATGTATAATTGAATATAGAATATATTATATATCTGGAACGATATTGCTCCGACAACATGCGCCACTTTCATCTCGAGTATCTCACGTAAATATCTTAAAATTTTATGTGTTTCACACAAACTCATGAACGAAATGTCTCTCTTGCGATTTTTGAAGGACCGTGTGAAATTCTAAATAGAATACAATGTCAATGTTTGCCGTGCCAAAAATTCGTGAAAACGTGATGAGTTAAAACGTAAAACACTGACGCGCGGCTTTTCTCCGACGACCCTTGACCTTCCTCTCATGCTCGCCGGAAGGGACCGAAAGCGACGTACGTGAGACATCGATATTCGCGCAGCTCGGCAGAAAATCGAATTTCACCTCGTCTATATTATACGCTCAACGCGCGACCGGAATAAATGGCATATGGCGAAAAGCCCATCGTTCTCGGCTCCACCTCTCTGTTGTTGATTTTGCTCAAAGAAAGACGGAAAGTAGAATTTGGTGTCAGTAATGACCGCCGACTTTAACATATCATTTTGTATACGAGCCGTGGACACTGGTATGCATGTTAACGAGAATGCATATGCGAGAATAATTTGTAAAAGTAGAATCCGAGTTTTGCCTCATTTTCGCATTACCCACGTATATATTACCTTCTAACGATAAAAAAAATAATGACTTATTATGCGGAAAAACAATTTTGTTTGAAAAATTATGTAAATTATATGGATTATTTTTTTTTTGCATTAAACAAGTTTCTAATTTCAATTCTTTAAATACATATATGGAATAGAGAGAGAGAGAGAGAGAGAGAGAGAGAGAGAGAGAGAGAGAGGAAAAGATATACGTTAATAAAATATTTATTTATCCTATTAAAATAGATATATGAAATGTAGATAGTATTAATTACCTTCATTTTGAGGCGTCCAGGAGTGAGAAAAGACGCATGTCAGAGTAAGAAAGATGAACAGCAGACAGACACCTTTCTCAACAACCATCTGTAATGAAAAAGTATTTTAAGAAAATCTAGATACTGAGAAAAGACATTTATCTTGAAAGATTTATATTAGTTGTATATTAAAATTTTAAGCAAATTTAAAATTAAAACGTTCTTATCAAACTTAAAGGTAGCTCTGCTTTAAGCTCAACGTTAATTTATTTATAAAGGCTCTTGGCTCCAGCTCAATGACGATCTTAAAGCACCCTTTAGTTTTAAAAACCTGACTTTGAGACATAAAATATGATGTAAAAGATATATGAAACATTATATTCATATAGCGCTTATGTTCGCAAGAAAAAGCGAATAAGTTACAATTTTCTTTCTGCGAGATACAAACTTACTCCTATCCATTAAACGCGCATTATATTTCAGCCAGAAAATTTCTCCATTCTCATAATGACATAAATGTATTCAAGTACAAAATAAGTGAGAGAAGATAGTGTTCACAGAAGATATTTAGTTGATCAATTATATTCTCTCTTTTCAAGTGAATAATTTATGAAGAGATAACATCTGTGTTGATTGACACATTGAAAAGAGATCTGTTTTTTTAAATTCATCTTCAGCATAATCGTTCAGCAGCCATAATTTTTCAGAGCTAATTACCAGATCTACATATTGGCACGTGTTTTTGTCTTCATAACGGTACAAAAATATCAGCCTCTTTCACGTATGCCAGAAAAACTGAGAGTCGTAAGATGATTCCATGGCATATCTTTCAGTTAATTTTATTTTACAAAATACTAAAGTTAATTTTGCAATAATTTATATACATTAACGAACATTTATTATTTAAGATTCAACTAGATATATGTATAGTAATTTATTCTCAAAAATTAATTAAAAAGTTGAATGAAATATGATGCAAATAACGTAAATAATTATCATTTATATAAAATAGATATTGATTAAAACCGAAGATAATGAAGCGTGTAATATTATACCAAATTAATCATAAATTACAATATTAAATTTATTTTAATTATAATGAATACATATTTGAAAATAAATATCTCATATTTATCTCTTCGCATATTCAAAACAATTTTATCGAAAAATATTTTTATTATTTGTTAAAACGTGATTTATGCTCGATTTATATAGCATATCATTTCAAATTACAGTTATTGATTAATGAACAAGTGAATCCAATGACTGATAATGTAATGCTTATAATGAATGAATATAAAGGGTTAACCAATATTTCACAAACATGGATCAATGCTCCTATATCGTGTAGGTGTGTGCTTGCATACACAAAAAAAACGCAAGTAAACGTGAGTGAATATATGTAGCTCTATTAATAACTTTTGTAAGAAGCAAAAGGTCAAAAAAGGTTTACAAACGCCATTATAATTTATAAAAATATAAATTTGTATCTAATTTAATAATATACAATAAAAATAAAAATATAAAAATAGAATTAATTGAGATAAAAGTAAATCGTACTGTTAAAATTTTAAGCGAAACACAAAGCGTATTTTTACTCGTAGTCTCGCTTTTGTCAAGTTTATATTCAAAGATCCCTTTGAAATTCCACGAATACAGTATTCGCACACATTTCACACGTGAATCGTCAAAATGTATGAAGAACAAACATCGCCTTGGACCTATGTGTTTCTTCCTTGTTGGAGAAGTTCACGCTCGAAGCAAACACGGGCGCGCGCGCGTATGTCCAGAATCCCGTTACAGTCAGTCACACAAGCCCGATGTATGATAGCTGCGGACGAGACGGAGGAACGGAAACGAGATATCGGAGGAACCTGAAGATAAAGTGGCCGGAGATCTTCGGCGATAGAATAGAAGCTTGATGAGCGAGACGAGGAGAAGAAATGGAGAGACGATGAGAAGCAAAGATATGAGAATGAGTGTCGGGCAAACTGCTGGTCGCTTTAACACAGGTTCACCAAGACACTGGTGACCCAGTTTACCAATTCACCGACATTCTGTCTCGTTCCCATCATGGCCTTGCTAACCCATTATAAAGTTCATCTTCCGTGTGTTACGTGTTATACGAGATTACCATCATTCATTTAAGTCAATGTGCCAGTGAAAATACACGTATCTGTGAGTTTTAAGGTATTGCTATCTGACTTTTGGAATTTTAATTTTTTAAATTTCATATACAATGCTGGAAGTTTCCGACCAATTTTACTTTATTATATAGTATTTAGATAAAAAATTTTACAAATAAGATTTAGTATAAAAGTATTTAATATATTCTAGTATTTAAAATATTCGTAAAATGATTAAATATTCACAAATTGATTATAAATTTTATTATATAACTTATAATATAAATTGAAAAATAAATCGACAAAAATTATCATAAAATTATATGTTGGCGGAAACTTTCGGTAGCCACTGTATATCTCAAACTTTAAAAATTGAGAATTTTCATGGCTCGATGAGATGCAGCAGCACTAAAATTGAGTTTTATATTAGATAAGCTTCATAGAGTTAAATTGTAACAAAGAAACAATTTAGGTACATAACGATTGGTTGGTTGCCAAATGATAGTTTTGACATAAGTTATGATAATAATTTTTGTCTATTTATGTCCGTTCGTGCCGCTCTGATTTTTAATGCGATCCGCTAAAGTGAACTGTTGTTCCACACAAATACATAAGTTGATATGACTATATTAATACTCTCACCTGTTAACCTAAAAACTATGGAACATCCGGTCGATTATATGATATTGATTAAATGTATCATGATTATGTTAATTT